ACCTTTGGACAAATTCGATTCAACGATGTATTAAAGTTAAAATGTATACAGAGATAAAATGGGTTATCTCCTATCGTTTCCTTGTGTATACGTTTATGTCTCTGCGTAATAACGCAGATGCGAGCAGGTAGTTACCAATCTCACCACAAGGTGGCTCGTTCGGGTCAGATAGCATGGCGGGTATGGTAGAAAGTTCCCTTTAACTTAAAGTACATCTGTTTTCGTGGTTCAATTTTCATATCACCCTTAAAATGTATCTAATAGCAATGCAATTAAAATATGTCCAGTGAACGAAAATGCAATACAAGAATAGATATTTCACTTTTTGTGATTTTGTAACAATGGGGTTATTTTTTGTATATGTAACATGGTCATTTTCACATTTTATATTATTACTGTTCATATTAATCAATCCCTATTCATCTCAATATAACAGGTCCCTAAGTAGGTTGTTTGCAGTTTTACTCTTTTAATACCATGTTCACTTTTCACCTTGAGTTATTCAACTATGCAAACTGTGTCAGTTTTATATATCTATTGTTCCCCTATATGGTCTTTCTCACTCACATGTAGCTGAGTTTGCATTGGGTGTTGGCTTGTCAGTAGTTGCTGTAAGAGTTCATGTTGTACATTACAGAGCATTGTATTTTAAACATTGAAGTTTGAAATATACTATTTTATATATATTTTAATTTGAAGTTCGAGTTATTTTATTGCCACCCACGGGCCTTCCACACGCCCATTTACATATAACGCTTTGAAACAACTTTAAAAAGTGAGCAATGTCAGTGTTGTGATAATAGAGAATTTTCGTTATAAGTTGTTTCAAAAACGTATACGTATACTTATAGTTTAAAGGGTCTTGTCGAACTAAAATCAATTCAAATTGATTTTCATAATCTGTACCAAGTGGGGCATAACTATTCCCGATATAGTCAAGCTTCATCATCAACTAGGGACTGCGAATACAATGTCCTTTGCTAGTGTCAATTATGAACACGATAAACTAAATTCTAGTTGACGGGTCCTTGTAGTGTACGATAAACAAGACCCTTTAAAGTGAATCACTACACAAACGAGTCGATCATTTCAAAGTTCTCATGAAATTATAAGGTCAATTTTTAAGTTTTTACGTATAAAAGGGCCTTTATACGCAGATTATAAACTTACAGAGTTGGATCTCCGCATAGTATATGTGTGGACCTACTGACCAGAATGGCTTATTAAAATTAATCGGCTGAATAGGCATAGTATCCAATCAAATAGCTCGACTCATTCATTAGCTGAACTAATTCTCCCTTCGTTATTTCTACAAGGTGATTCAAAACGATCATCTACAAAAAATATATTTGAGAGTAGATAAATCTGTAAAACCCGTGTGCTATATCAGCCTATTTGATTCTAGAAAACACATATGACACAACTAAACATGCTTTACATCAAGGGGGTACGGATGGTATGCCATTGGCCCTTTTTATTACCTTCCTAGGAGATATTTCCCGACGAATTAGGAAATTATGAAACACCTTGTTTATTGGGTTTATAAGTATAAGTATACGTATACGTTTTTAAAAAACTTATAACGAAAATTCTCTAATAACGCCCCTCATACCTATTTATTACAGGTCGTGTAGACCATTGTTGCCTGATTTATAGCAAAAACATTGACTTTTGCACGTTGATGATGATGATGATGATGATGATGATGCGCCTTTTATAATAGATCTCATATCTTAGAAGCGTATCAGTTCAAAAAATACTAGAAGACCTTACATATTTTGCCATGCACTGCGCCTATTCATTTGGCAATTCAGTTGTAAATTTTATCTTGAAAAAAATAAATCTTCCAAATTTGTTGAGTTTTCTTGCAGAAATCGCCTACCCCCCCCCCCCCCCTCCATCCATTTTGTATGATCACAAGGCGTGATTTAAGCTGCTGATATTCTTCTTTAAACGAGTTGGATTTTCAAAATCTATAAGTTGGACTCCCTTTATAGAAGCTTTGAACTGAATTTGCACTGCTTAATGCTGAAATTTTATTGTTTATCCATACATTTTAAGAAAAAATGTATAAAAAAAGATGTTAAAGCCAAATGTTGCCCTAAAAATTCAGAAAATGTAAAAAATTTCGAATTTTCTATGTACAGGCCTTGTTGCCCCTTTAAGAAGCTTAATATGTAAATTATCTAATCAAACACTTCGTCCACCATTTTGAAACACTAATCAATCCAATCTGTGCTAGCGATTCATAGGGCGAGTCAGTGGGATATTTCCAGGGTTCTTACACACCTGGAAATGTCAGGGAAATTGACTTGATTTTCCAAGTGCTGGAAATGTCAGGTAATTTTAAAATTAGGTCAAAAGGGCCAAAGATGACCGGGAATATTGAAACGGTAGACATGTCAGGGAAATGTCAGGGAAATTTGTATCAGTGTTGAAAAAATAATGTTCCAGAGATTAATGTTTCCAAACTGTTTTGAAACAAACTAACGTCTTGTTTTCAACCTACACCTTGCTCCTTTCTGTCGTATTTAATAAAACAAAAATAGTATATCACGGAGGGATACGAACCACTCACATGGGACTTGGTTATTCACTAGCGCCATAGGCGTTCTACTATTCTGGATACAACTGACGAGTCGTATTTAAGTGGAGACAAAAGTGAGGATCATTTTGAATTGACGCTCGGTATAAATATATAATACTTTTGTTCTTTCATATCGGTGGCTCGTTGGCCTCATGGTTAGCGTGCCTGGCTTCCATAGTCTAGGCTAGTTGATCGAGACCCGTTCATGTCGAACTTTTTGATTTGCTTGTTGTCAAGATATAATAAGTAGGGCAAAATCCAGAAAAAGTAGATCAAAAATACTCCAATGGAGTATAAAATTGTCACCAGGATTCCGGAATGAGACGAATGTTAACTCGTGAAATCTCGGTAGATAAAGTAGGTCAGAAAATCCGGATTAATCCGAACAAGGTTCGGGAATTTCCGTCATAAGAAGTAGGTCAAAAATACTCCAATGGAGTATAAAATTGTCACCAGGATTCCGAAATACGACGAATCGAATCGGCAAACTTCGGTACAATAATGAAGTGCATAAAAATCGTGAAACAGGTGTCAGGGGCTTCCCTCATCTTTCCATAAATGGTTCTAAAAGCCTTATATGGATCTATCACGTGACATTCAAAATGATGCTCCTATATGGTTCTATGGGCCTTATATGGATCTTTCGAACAAGTGACCAAATCAAAATCAAAATTTTACCTTGACCATTGGATGGGATTTCATAGAAAATATCAAAGAAAACATATTCTCGTGATCCTTAAATCACTTAAATTCGATCATTTTATCTTCACCCCTTGATGGAATTTTATGAAAGAAGTTATGTAAACACATCATCATGTAAGGGTTTTCACCTAAATTAGCTCGTTTTATCTTGACCCTTCAATTGAATTTCATTGAAAAATGTTTCATGAAAAATATCATGTTATGATTTGTATTTAAATAAGACCGTTTCATTTAAATACTTGCTGGATAATATTTCATTAAAAAACGCACTTTAAAAATATTTCAGGATTTGCCTTAATTTATCAATGTAATGTAAGTATTAGATTGACTCTCAAATAGGGTTCTATTTTAACTTTTTTTATTGAGATTAATACTAGGCAGGACTCACTCTCTAAATAGCTAATAAAAATTCAACCCTTGGATGTGATTTCGTTGAAAAAAAAATATGACAAGTCCAGAATCAAATGATTTGTCCAGAACCTCTTAAGATCCTGTTTAATGCTTAAATGTGAATCTACAAACAAGAACTACTTTCCTATTGCTACACTATGTTACATGGGCATTCATATATATTGCATTTCTCTATAGCTTGACGATTATACTTCGGTAAGGACAATAACTATAATGATTGAATGTGAATCTACATACAAAAACTACTTGCTAATTGCTACACTATGCTACAAGGGCATTGTGTTATTGATGGGTGGATTCATAGTTTGGCCAGCACTGTAAGTGATATTTTAAGCAAACACCAATACATATGTTATCAACGAACCATCCTAAGTAAGGACGGGTTAATAGGGGATAACACCGATTTCAGAATGAATTTCTAAGCAACAATTATACCAGAGCGATATACTAGTATACAGTGAGCCTAAGGGATTTGTCATGATTGATGCTTACACTATGTTATTTATATTTCCGATATATTTTGAAGCATTTGAAGTGTATTGAGACCAATAAAGACGATTAGATGTACTGTTTCAACATCAAGAAAATTAAAACTGCTAAACTGAATTCTGGTTAAATCCATGTGTTTATCTGACTGTGTAACTATAATGCCATTCTGGTACCATTTTTTCGGAATCTGATATTGGTGGAAAGATCACACCTTATCGAAGATAATCTTTTTCAAAATTGCATAAGTTCTGTTTTTCCGATGGGTATACGCTTTTCATTTGTTGACTCCATTTAATTTCAATATGCAAAAAGTTTTTTATTAACTTTTTTAGTAGATTTTACAAAAATGTGTCTTGCAGGCAAAAATATTAATTAAGAGAATGAAATGATGTAAACATGTTGCTTCTTCATTAATACTGTCAATGGCATTATGGAGATATGTCTTCGGCGCATCATCAGTGTTAGAATTTTTAAACTCAACTTTTGTTCAAGTTGATACGATTGTCCTCTTGAACTAGAGACCTGCCTCATTCGGAAGATCCTAAAAGACTTCATCATAACTGAAAATCTAAGATCCAAGGATGGTCGAACACGCCGTCAGTCCGCTTTTGATTTTTGACCACAATATGCAAATTCTTTTTTTGGATTCGCTTTTTGGTAATATGTCATTAGCTTTCTTCTAGCTTAAGTAGTTTAACGTGTTTACCAACGCTTATTTAGTACTGAGGAAAGCGGCAATGGTTGTATATCTTTAGTAATCATGTTATTGTGTCCGATTGCATGATGCTTTATCAATATCTGGAATTATATTCAAGGTTTATGTCAGTGAAGAAAGGATACTCCCACTTTTCCGGTTTTGCTGTTGCAGTCTTCATGAGTTTGTTGACCAGTATTGTATTGGTTGTTATCTCGTTCTTGATTCCAACTGAACCGAATGCTTTGTTCATTCTAACTGGATGTCTGGTATTAATCACAACACTACTGACTACTCTACTGATTTTAACCTCAAAGGTAATTTTTCAAAAATGTTCGAAAACACTTAATAGAACTAAATATCAAGTATTCTTATATAGTAACCCGGGCAGTTTTTTGACAATTACATACTGTTGTGTAAACGAATATTATATCTGTGGATAATCTATCCTTAGTAAACAACAAATTAAAATCATAGAACTTATATGCTTCCATGATAGACTCTTATTACATTATGTAATATCAATATTTATTTTGCATTTGAAATTGAAGTAGTGGCTTTCCTTTTATTTGCTATCAGATCAATGTAATGCCGAAAATATAATATATTCTATCAGTTACAAATAATGTACTTTAGGTCATTATCATAGCAAAAGGAGGTGGTCCACTTTATATGAAGTTATTTTCCCCAATTGGCGCAGCATTTGGCTTCTTGGAGACAGTGGCTGGAGAAGGCCAATTGCCTGGATTGGGTGCTGCTAAGTCGCTAAACATGCCAGAAGTTGCTCTTGCTGCTGGGAAGATTGAACTAAGTGACCGAAAGTCTGTTTTGGATAATGCTGACCATCACCACGACAAGGGCGGTCATTTAAATGTCGGTGGTTCGGACTTGATCAATGGCTACGATTTAGAAGAATGCTCGTGACCTTTAAGTTAGATTTCATAACTGCAGCCATTTTGAAAGAACTCGGGAAATATTACATTGTTCATTGGAAATATGTCCGTATCCAATCCCTTCTAGAATATAACTTCTTTAGATCTGATATATACTGTTTATATCCTATATAACTACTACTTGTATGAATATTTTCGATACTTCGTATTTTCCCGTCCAATTTCGTTTATTGAAATCGTATTCGAGTCTCAATCCCAATCATGAAAATGGTATTCACCTCCCGGGGATTTCAGCTCAGTTCGATATGGCTCGGTATCATGATATTCTTATATGAGAAACGATATTTTTCAATCAAAATCAAAGAGATTTTGGAGTAGTATGAAGATTGTAAGTTTATATAAACATAGGCAAATTGTTATTTCATCATCATGCTCTGACACGGACAGTCAATGTCATAAAAAATTTGAGCAATGTGCGAATACCCTGTCATGGACATACGTATTGTTGATGAATTTGTGACAACATATTGTGTTGATGTGTTTATGTTATGCAATAAAATGTTTATATTTAAAAATGTCATAAAGTTAAGTCATATTTCGTAGACTAAATATAGTTTGTTTCATACAGAAATAAAAAGGATTTTGAACATGAGCTATTTGGATACAAAACTTATTTAGTATTTGGGATTAAATATTGGTTTATTTCTCGTGACATAGTGATATTTCCCCCTGGTCCTCCGGCTCCACGGGAAATATCATATTGTCCCTTGGATGTAAAACTCATATTGAATCAATCCAAGTGAATAACATCAATATATTCTGTACTAATAACAAAACATTTCATGAATGTGTGTATAATTGTTTCTCGATTAAAGCATAAATCTGCAGCGTGCATCACAATTTCTGATTCAAATGATTTCTATAATATTTTTTTGTAAATTATTTCACATGTCGGACCGTTATGTTACTTTATTAATACATTAATTGAGTGCGTTGTATATTTGCTTTTTGTGTTATTAATCAAATACATTATCGCTTTGAAATCATAAATTTGTTTTCATGTTCGTGTTTGTTTATGGTATGCACAGCGCAAAAGGGAAAGTACCAACCGTTGTCACAGAGCACAGCAAGCTCAATGTAAAACAGCTTAAGGTTACACAAAATGACAAAATTGTGAACCAAAATGTCAGACAATATTTCGTAAACTAACAAACGCAGCATATTTAAATTGAAGTAAAAGTTTATGAAATAGGTTTAAGATGTAGGGGCATCGCTTTCAAGGTACAGTGGTTTCAGCATGAAAGGGAAATTCCACACACTTGGCCAACAGTTAGAATGGCTGGGACAATGATTTGAAAATCGACTGACCAGTAGGAAATGTGACCCTGCGTGGGCCCCACAATCACCGGACTTGAATGAAAACCATACCCAGGCAATCAGGGACTAACGATCAGCAATTACTACAAAAAGCAGAGACATCCAAGGAAAGGAAAGAGCCCTCTAATGGAAAACTTTGTGCACCGCATTCAGGAGTGACTGTAACATCGAGTTAGTCAAATCGCACATTTTTGAAAGAGGATAAAAGATGGACCATTTGAATGCCAGAGAGAATACATTCAGAACTTGTTTCTTATCATCTCAGTTTTATTTGAGAGAAAAATAAAAGGTGTTTCACTATTATTGATGATTTTATTCACTGTGTTAAAGGATTAATTCATTTTGGGTCACCCTGTATATGCAGTTCATCTTTAAATAAGACATCAGTGACTGCATTGTGCAGTCTAGTTTGTGCAACTTAAATGACTTGAGTAGGCAAGTACCTTTTTGATTAAAGCGACCCTCTATGAATTCTAAAGCGGGGTGGTACACTAACAATAGTCACGTTCAATTCATTAATTTCTGTCTATGTAACATCTAACTTTCCGTGTGAACGCTATTTGAATGTAGACTCCTCATTATGTAAATAATAAAATATGGTAGACATAGCAGGAGTAGTTGTTCTGGCGGTCTTTAACGTCATCATTCTGGGGGTAGGAATAACTGCAGCAAAATTCTCTAAGACGCAAGGGGCCTCCGAGACAGAACGATCGTTAGTGGCTGGTAGACAACTGAATCTCGGAGTCGGTATCATTTCAATAGCAGGTTAGTTTTGAGACTATAGCACTACACACATTCAGATTATGACCGCAGTAGGTGAGCAATCAAGAGCTTCGACTCCAAACTGTTAAGTTGAACAAATGACATTGTTTATCCTTCAATACATCATTTGAAAAGATCGGTGTCAAGTTTGTAAAATCAATCGAATGATCAAGTGATTTCCTTAAATATACCTAGATAAAATAAAATCATGCATTAAACCTGACTTTTCATTGATATTGTATCAATATTTTGACCCGACCCCTAATGTTTTATGAATATCGATACTTTTACACATATTTGGTCACTTTTTATACAGATCAACTCAAAAATAGTTTAAGTAAAAGCAGGATGAGAATATTAAAAGTTTCATTAGTTGATATTTAATCTGCTTGTCACAAACATTGCACCTCTTCTTAGACTTTGTAGTCATGGGAAAGTGGATTTATATCTTCATAGAGGAATTATCTGCCTTTCACCTTCATCTGCTGGTTGGGGAGGGTTACAAGGAATGTTTTCGGTCCTGTGAGTGTAATCCGGCATTTGTAACAGATAACTGAATTATCAGGGGGATCTTTGTGTTATTTTTCTTTCCATAATTTGCCAAGAGTGTTAGGTTTAGTTACTTTTTTCCTAGAGACAGCCGGACTCTGTTTATCACATCCAACACAACGGTACGTTTTGATAGGTGAAATTGTATCCAAAATGGTGGCAGAAATGTTTTAGAAAAAATACCAAAGAAGTCCAAAAAAACTATATGAGCTGTGTTCTCCTTCACTTTTTGCAACTGAAAATGTTGCCTAATTCAATTTTGGATCTGTATAGCTAAAAATGAAAGTGGTGGAGAACACAGCTCACAGTGAATTTGTCCATTCAATGAACCATGGTTCATGTTCAATTGAGACGGGTAAATAATGGGGGTCTGGATTATAATCCATTTTTATGCCACATATCATGCATCATCACACATAAATTTGCTGGATACATTTCAGTAGGGATTACATTATGCATAATTCACTTAAATACTACTTGAAAATTGTTCTTAAGGCTTTATTTACTATATTTTCTAAAGAACACTAAATTTCACAAATAATCTGCCATGATGGGAGTGGTTACAGAAATGGGACAGAAATCATATTTTTTACAAAAATATTCACTATATTTTTCAAGAAAATGAAAATACACATATCAGTGAAGAATATTTTGAATTTTTTTTTCAAAAATCTTCAACTGCGTATTCATGAAATTTTTTAAGTCCTTTAAGAGATCCCAATAAGACTGTACCTTTAATTGCCAACCTGCATCTCATAGTTCTTCATTGTCCTGTGTATAATTTTGAAACCAGTTCTAATTTGTTTCAAAAACCTTTTTTTTTGACTCTGCAATAACATTCTACATGTAAAAACTTGTATATATATGAATAATGCTATGGATTAAAAGCAAAACCTCGAAATGATCTTTTGACTCATAATCACACAAAAGTCAGGTGACATTAGCAATGACCAACCATCTTAGTTACACTCTATAATGATTGATCATGGCCAAACAAACAGATCATATTTCAAATGCCAACATGACGAACTTAAGGCCATGAGTAATTTTGGAAACAGAATGTCAGCTATATCATTCTTCAATCGTTTTTTTTATTTATTTTATGAAAGGAGAGGACTTATCTCCTCTAAATGAAATACAAATTGGTAGCAGTATATGGTTAAATGCATTGGAATAATTTTGTGCAGAACGAAAAATGAATCTGATTACGGATGTGACACATCAGTTCAAATGTTCAAAAGTCCACTTTACTCAGTTATAAGTCACTTATCATCAGCAAATGCAATTTTAATTTTAACATCAGTAGCCATATGCTAAAATATTATGCAGTTTTGGGACCTTTTGTGTTTTTTTCTGATTAGAGCCATTCACAACAGAGGTTCTTGGGGTTTGGTGCTGATTTAAGGAAAGACTCTTTCTAGGGCGTAAATATACATTGAGAACTAATGCTCTGATTGGGAAATAGTAAAGTTTCTTTCAATTCATTTTCGTTACATCTTTCTAATTCTAATTTCTGTTACTTTCTTCCCTTTATCTTTTTCAGTTTTCTGTTGTTAATTACAATGAACCATTTTATGGTTCGATTAAAATATGTACTTTGTAAAAGAGTGAAAGTGTAGAATCTGAATAGAATGAGGTATTTTTACCTGAAAATTACATTCAAATTAGGAAGCAATTAACATTTCTGAACAATGGAATTATTTGAGCAACCCCTTGATACTCTTATCACTTATTGCTGTTTCTTCTTTTTCTTCCTTTTCAAAGAGGAATTTCGTAGGCTGTACGCGATGACTGAGGTAATCAATGACCTCAGCTTTCTTTTCAAGAGTTATAGGTATTATACTTTCAAACCATTGCACTGCTCTATATTTATTCTCCAAAGGTGGAATTGTTTATATACAAGTACTATTAGTAGGTGGTTGTTCATCATCAATATCAGACATCAATATTGGAGTCCAATAAATCTGGAGGTTCACCTTTAGCAATTGTGTTCTTGTCATTACTGATGGAATCATCATGTCTGTCCAGAATCAGGGGTTGATCATCAGATCTTATAATGCTATCAATAATATAAGATAATTATCAATCATGATTACACTTTCCTCATCACTCAATGTACTTCTGCTTTGAGATTTCAATTTTAGTTTTATCTGTTTGACATATCTTTCATACCATGCTGCCCACGCTGCTGCTTGGTTATACAAGTCTGATAGATTACAGTTTCTAGTTACACTTCCACTTTTTTCAATTTATTTAGGGACCAGGTATATCAAAAGGTACTTATCAGCTCACTTCTCAATCATATTTCACCAATAATATCATTATTAAGATAACCTTGTTATATTTTGTGCAAATACACCATTCCTTTAGCAAGCCAAGTTGCTTTAAAGGTTATAAGATAATGTTGATACATCATATAGATTAGAAATGCAAACCATGTTAAGATTTATTACATTTCCCTGTGTTTTTACCTAAGACAGAAAAAATCTTTCATTTTTTCAAAAATATCTCAACTCTTCACAACAAGCAAAACTCTTATTTTCAGTCTGATCCTTTGAACTTCACAAAAAATCATATTTACAATTCGGTTACCTGTTTTTCAAATCAATTTATCAATGAATTACTCAATATAACATGAAGAAATTCTGACAAATAAACATGTATGCTTTTTGATTACGGATGTGACTTATTACGGATGAGTGTTTTTGTCAATTTACAGCAACCATTTGAATGTTACATTAAATTCATATGCTAATTTAACTAGATTCTGCCTAAACACATTGCACAATATGTGTTTTTAGATGGCTAAAGCTGTAATTTTGATAAAATCAAGCTGAAATATTGATTACGGATGTGACTGGTTTAATTTTTTGAACCAAAATATATTTTTGAGTGCATACAGAAATATATATTGCAAAGGAAACACCATCAATCTTCTATTTCTCAAATCTTTAATCATTTACTGATTTATTGATGTGAAAACTGTTGCATGAATCTTTTCAAAGGCTGATATTTTCGACCGTAACGATCATCATTGCTAATGCCAAAATTGCGTAACAAAAAAGTGTGACATTTACAAAATACCCAATATCTGGTTTCATCTTGACTTGAATCACATTGGATTGCAACCATAATACTTGGAACTTAAGTATCTTTCAGAAAAATACATTGTTTTCAGAAACTTTTGATGATAAATATTTTTTTGACACTTGCCTTGCAACATCAGTTTTGTGAAAATATGGCTTTTTCATGCTTTAAAGGTTGAATAAAGACTATAAAAGAAATTTGGGAGTCATTTTACCTTTCCCGAGCTATTAGTGCAACGTTTGGCCTAATGTCTTCTTCGCCATACCTACTTTCTTAAAATATATGCACCAATCAGACTTGCAAATAGACTTCTAAATAAGCAATTGAAAGGTTGGACGTCCCGCATTTTGTTTTTTTGAAACATTTCTAAATCTCCGCCATTTAAAATTCTTGCTGCAGCTGAGATAGGTAAGACCGCATGTTACAGAATAACCGCGCTTGTCTGATATAACCGTATGTTTGGTACACGATATGACCGCCGTTGACGGTCTATTACCGGCGACTCTTGCAGTTAATTAGATCCACTGACGAAGAAAAATCAAAAAATCTAAGACTAAAACACCTCAAATCTGCCCATATTCAAGGTCTTCTTGACACGCGCATGGTATAAAGGAGACAGAATGTTGGATAGAACGAAAACGGGGCTGGAATCCAATGACAATATAACCGGGAAATCATTAAAAGGTACGTGAGCATTTTTTCTGTCGATGTCGGGAGAAGATTCCCGGGGATTTAGGATGCCAGTAATTGTGAATATCGGCAGAAATTAGGTACGTTCGGGGGTTTTCTTTTTAGCTAATGAAAATAAATGTTAGCCTTGATGAAATATTCAAAATTCGATATATTTTGACACCAGGACCATGATCGTTGGATACGTCTCTGCACTATTTATTCAACCTTTAACTAGTCATAACCTTTGAACCGAACGTCTAATTTGCTTCAAATTTTCAGCATTTCTTTATTACTTCATCTTCGTGAGATGGTAGAAATATATATCATTTACTTTTAAAGATTTGCTTTCGTAACGATATTGGACAAAAGTGTGCAGAATACTGTGATTTGGCTGAAGGCGTTTGATTGCATATATCTTTTATAAAGTGTTAGACATGTCCTCTGAATAAATTAACGTTCTAATACCTCTATAACATTCTTATAGATAAACATTTTGCGTATTTGTCATTGTTTTATGTTTTATAAAACATAGGCAACACGTTCGTGTTTGACACCTGGCGATGATAGGTATAAATTCTTTAAATACATTTTTGAAAAAATGAAAACTTAATATATTTGAAATTTTGATTTTTTTTAAATAATCCACACAATTTTGTCAAATCTGCTTGACCAGTATTTAAAAAAATAAACGAAATTAAATAAGCACACTAATATAATTACATTAATTAAGCACGAGAAATTATTGAAAATATTTATGTTTTTTTTTGTTATGAGAGGCATATTTCGACCCAAAAACCCGACTTTTCCCACAAACGGCATTTTCAAAGAATCAAGACATATGGACCTCCTTAAATATTGGTTCAAATGCTGCTGCACTATATATTGTGTTACGGATTCTTCATATTCACGAGTCATTCCATGAACTAGTATGTTTGTAAACTAACTCTTTTCCTTTTTAAAATTTAAGTGAGCCTCTATGAATTCTAAAGGGAGGTTGCTACGCTTTTAATTGTCACGTTTAATTCATTTAATCTCTGCCTACGTCAAATGTAACTATCGGGTGAATACTTTTGAAATGATAGCTCCTTTTTATGTACATAATAAAAGATGGTAGATATAGCAGGAGTAGTTGTTCTGGCGGTCTTCTACCTCGTCATTCTGGCGGTAGGAATAATTGCAGCAAAATTCTCTAAGACGGAAGGGGCTTCCGAGACAGAACGATCGTTAATAGCTGGTAGACAACTGAATCTCGGAATCGGTATCATTTCGATGGCAGGTTAGTTTTGAGACTATAGAACTACAAATTCAAATCATGGCCGAAGTAGGTTAGCAATCGAGAACTTCAAATCGAATCTGTTAAGTTAAACATATTCCACAAATATCGCTTCCCAAGCATTTGCAAAGTATTATAAACCTATTCACGTGTTATCATATATTTTGGCCTCAGCATAGGAATACCTATTCTATTTCAAAGGTCATGTTGTCACTAACGTTTTTGGCAATTACATGTAATTGCCAACCTGTATTTCAAAGTTCTTCATTGTCCTTTGTATAATTTTTAAACCAAATCTAATTTGTTTGAAAAACCTTTTTTGATTCTGCAATAACATTCTATATGTAAAAAGTAGTATATGTATGAATAATGGATATGGATTAAAATTGGCTCAATACCTCGGAATGCTTTCGTTGACTCAAAATCACACAAAAGGCCAGGTGACATTAGCAATGACCAACCGTCTTAGTTATATTCTATAATAATTGATCATGGCCGCACAAACAGTTCATATTTTAAATGCCTACATGACGAACTTAAGACCATGAGTAATTTTGGAAACAGAATGTCAGCTATATCATTCTTCAACCGTTTAAATGCATGCGAAAGAACATTACAGACCAAAAGTTCAATGTAAAGTTTTTAATGTGCTTTGCATGTAGGCAGTCGTTTATAAACAGACTTTATGACTTCGGAATAATACACATATTCACCAAATCCCATTCCATTATAATATGGATAAATAAGTATGATAAATCATTACCTCATCCTATGAAATTGAAATAGACACACCAAATGTTAATTTTCAATTAAAATAGTAAGTACAAATTCTAAAGACCTTCCTTTAAGATTTTATGTCCTGTTGTAGACCTTTTTATTTCAATACATTCAAACAGTAATATAAAGGTAGATACTCAAGTAGTCCTTGATTTATTTTTACAAAGGAGTTGGGTAACAAGCTACAAAGAGTGCCCCAATTGAAGTGTGAAACCTCTTTTTGAAGGATTTGAGTAAAACACCAGAAATGCTTAGATTAAAGTCTATATTGTTGTGTAGAATGTATGAAACGATTTCCTGCTGGGTCTGAAGGCATGTAACGAAGATTTGGGTCAGGGGGAAAATATTCAAGATATTTTTCATTCCTCATGAATAATCCCTTCTTACATTCATTAAACAATATGTACTTTTTAAAAGTAATAGTTTAGAAAGGACATTTAATTTCATGCTGAGTCTGATTGAAACTTTTATTCGTTCTGTAGGTAGTAATCATCTTATTGCCCCTCCCTTCATACATTAGGGTTAATATAACGTCGATGTACTTGTAGCAAGTTATATCGGTGGCGGATTCTTGAACGGATACGCTGAATCTGTGGCTAGGGATGGAGTAATCTGGATGTTAATGCCCGTTGGGTTAACGCTGGCACTTTTCATCTGTAAGTTAAGATTGTGTCTAAATTTTGGATTCTATATTATCTTACATTTTGATGATATACAGTGCTAATGATACATAAAATATACTCAAGATTATATTTTTCCACAGCATCGTTTGCTTTCGGAGGAGAGATGCGTAAAAGGAAATATTTGACAATGTTGGATCCATTCAATGAGAAATATGGAAAGGAGGTGACTGCCGTCTTGTTTCTTGCGAGTCTGCTAGCCGACACGCTGTGGTCTGCTGCTATATTAACTGCATTGGGTATGTGTATACATGTTTCCTCGCCTTTTGAAACCAGACGTAATTCATTTATTTGCATCGGCTATAGATGTATGTGTGTGTGTGTGTTTGTGTGTGTGTGTGTGCGTCCGTGCGTGCGTGCGTGTGTGAGGGAGGGGGTCATTTCTATTAGATTATCCAGAGCATTTGTAAAATTAAATGAAGTTCTGTTCAAGGAATTATTTTTGTTGAATGTAAAGTATATGGAACAACTAAGCTGTATCCGTCATAACCTTTCATTCGGATACATCGGAGAGAAACACAATGATATTATCTCACTAAGATTTTTATTTTTATTTAATAATTACTTTCCTTGCTTAGGTACAAGCCTTAATGTTATAATTGGATTGGATTTTGTGCTGTCTGTGGTAGTATCTGCCGTGATTGCTGTATTCTACACTATGATAGGACAGATGATAGCTGTAGTCTATACAGACGTCCTAGAGTTGGCTTTCATAGTCATTGGTTTGGTAATGGAGTTCGTATCATGACATAATGAAACAAGGCATTAACATGACAAAATGTCACCACCAAGTTACCCACGGAATAATGAGTTCATACTTAAGTCAGATTTGAATTTCTGAAAAATTTGTCATTTTGAAGCAAGTTGAAAAAGACCAATTTGACCTGAAGAAGGTAATTGAAAGTCAAATCTTATATAAACTTGAGAAGGTCATTAAAGGTCAAATTTCAAAGCTATAGTCAGATTTGAGATGATTATGGAAATTGGTCAATTTGAAGCAAGTTGAAAAATATACCTTGTGGACCGTATTTTGATCTTGAGAAGAAGGTGAAATCTCAAAGCTAAGGTTAGATCTTAATTTTTGAGAATAAACAAATGATTTTGACAAAATATTGGCTAATTTGAAGCACGTTAAAAATACATTTTGACCTTTTTAAACCTTTTTTGACCTTTGACAGATTTGACTTTCTGATAACTTGTAGATGATTTTGAGAAAAATGAAGTCACACTAAACAGTATTTGTTAAGTCATTGAAAGTTGTTAGAATTTGTTACAGACGCCAATCACTGACCGCCAGCCGCAGGTCGTCAACCCCCAACCGCCGTCACAAAAAATGGAGACAATAACAATATCTCATCACTTTTGGTGGTGACATAATGAAGCGCTCAACATAAAAAGCCTCAGAAAAAAGATAATTTGTCCACTTATATGTATTGGTCATTGAAAAAGGATATATACAATGTATAATTTTTATGAACTATGTAACTGTACAGTCATATGAATTTATAAATTTTGCTGAAAATGTAAAAATGTTGTCGACGTACACGAATAAAATATACCTCAATGGATAATTTTACTATCAGAATATCATTGAGGTTCCAATTTATATGTTTTTATATGGTCATATTGTAGGTTTCTATGGTTACCTTTGACTCTGGGTTGATATTTGTTATTCGTTCATTATTCCAGGTAATAGCAATACCATTTGCTGCAACAAATGAAAATGTCGACCTGAGTTCGCTCAGTGAAACACCAGATAGATGGCTAGGCACTATCGAGCCGATACAGATTGCATCGTACATAGATCTTGTCGTAGCGCTATGGGTTCATTTATTTATTTATTTTATTAAAGTATTAAAGTTCATTTATTTATTTTTTATTATTAAAGTGTCACCTATTGTACCCAGCCAAAAGTGGGCTTATGAGACACATTTAATTATTAATCTTATATACTTGATTACTTCTTATATTGAAATACAGTCTAAATTGTTAACAAATCTTTTAACAATACTCTTGGTTTTTAATATATCTATAAATGATTCATATTCGGTGTTAAAAATGAAAGTCTCTCTGCTTCATATAAAATGTTTCTTCAACTTTGTTTAAATTGCAAACATGGTACATGTACAGTCTTTCTTGTATTGTTGTTTTCTTGGTTGTGAGTATTTCCCAGTCTCTCGTACTAGTGGTAAGATGCCACTTCTCTTTTGTGATATCTCACAGTCTCTCTTACTAGTGGTAAGATGCCACTTCTCTATTGTGATATCAGTGAACGTTTTGAAAGTGTTAGTTGACACATGACATAAATGTCAGATGTGGGTTCACCTTTGAAAGTAATATATGTGCGCAATTTGTTTTTTGAAGTAATATCCCTTATCCATTTTTCTGTGTGGTTTGAAGAAAGTATTGATTTAGCTGTAGCTAGTCTGATATGGTCCAGTGTCTCAGATTTTGAGATAAATGAAATAGGTATTATACATGGGCTGTTGATATAATGAATATTCTAAAATTAGGTCCACCCTAACTCTGTTGCGACACCTTTTATTTTTGTAAAATTGAGAAGGCGGTCTTTGAAAGTTTATTGTCTATGAGCTACCAAATTAATAATGTCGTAACACATATTTTTGTAAAATCGAGAAGGCGGTCTTTACACCAGTAATTTCACAGCTGAATACAGAACCAAAACAAGTTCAGTTAATTTTTATTGATACATATTTGTTGGTGGAGACGTTTCAACTTGTATCATTTCTATAATATCGTATGGTAGTCAATATTTGACTACAATACACAATTTTCCCCTCATGCTGTAGCACATATCAAATCAAGGATACCCGATGTTTCGCATTTCGGGAACAAACGATTTAACTCACTGATACAATTTTATGTTATACCGGTTGAATCGACTTAAATTGTTTTTATCCGTTTATTAGGTAATTGGAAATATACCATGGCAGAGTAGCATTCAACGGTTCTTGTCAGCAAAATCAGTTAGAGATGCAAAGATAATGGGGGTTGTTGGAGGAAGTCTCTATACTATCATTGGTGTAGCTCCAATTACTATTGGTGTTATAGGACTTGCGACGGGTAATACACTCTTTGCATAGACTGATAATCTACTTTTACGCTGTATTGCCTTTTTAATCTAGTATTATACAGTATATGTAATATACATAATTATATGTAGTTATTAGACATTGATGGCATTGTTATGTTATAAAAATAAAAATAATATAAACATTAAAACGCTATGACATCATATAGAATATCCATTTATGATATTACTATGCTTACCATTAGATATAAAATAATCTATTCAAGACTGTTAAGACCATAAGGCTCTAAAGTGTTATGTTTTTTTTTTATCCGAGAACTTTCTCTGATTTCTTCTGATTTCTCTCATTTCCATAATATAATTCTGTAATTTAAATTTTGCCCATGTGTTGTGATAACTTTGTTCCAGTATACACTAAAGAAGCTTTATTAATAAAACGAAAGTTTGTAATTCAAAATCATTTTATTGTTTTTAACACTAATTAAAATTATACATCTTGGAAATAAAATATCTTACCTCGAACAAGTCTGATCCTCGGTAAGATATCTATATATCCTTTAGAATATACCATATATCCAAAACCTCCCGTTAGCATTACACTTATGTTCTCTTTATAGACTGGAACAATACAAGTTATGGTGAAGATCCTATACAAGGAAACAAGACAAGTATGATACTGCCTTTGGTGGTGTACCATCTCACCCCTAGACCCGTTGCAGTCATAGGTGAAAAAGACTTTCTACACGTAAACCTGAAAAATATAACTTGATAGAATGTTATTTTAAATTAACTCGAACTATTTTCGAATATTAAGACAATAAAAAAGAACTTTTTTTGTAACATAAGGTAAGGGGTCTTAAAACCAAAAGTAAACTGTAATGTCTCCAACACTATCGTTATCATATTTAATTTAATAATGCTTTGTTCTGTCCATTTATATGAAGCCTTATGCTCCTTGACGGCTGCAGTGATGTCATCCGTAGACTCCATCATATTGGGATCCAGTGGAATGTTTACACAAAACGTCTATGTAGTTATCATTCATAAAAAGGTACATTTTTTACCAATTATGATTCAAAACTTGGTAAAATCATTTCCTCAACTGAAAAGTTCATAATATATGAAAAATAACGCTCTCGATTGTCAGTTAGCTATTTGTTGGATTTACAATAGAGCACTACGACGTCTTTGGTAAAACGGTTTAGCGTTAAAACGTTTTACAAATGTAATGTAAATCTAGATTTTTCAAAAGCTCTCAACTAAGAGCCCTTAGCTAAAACGTTTTAGGACCTTAGTCATAACGAAGACGTCTTAGCGTTAAAACGTTTTACAAGTGAGTGTAAATCCATCCTGGGTTTTAGGTAAGAGCTCTTAGCCCGTTTTTTGCGTTGCGCTGAACGAAAAATTTGAAACTTTTTGTTTACATTTGTCGCATAGTCCTTTCTTTGTCTTATCCCTTGTTCCCAATATCATCCCAAAAATATCGAGAAGAAATAATTTGCATGGCGATCTATCATTATCCTTATATGTGCACAAAATCTTCCTGCTCTTTTCATGCTTATAACAATGCTCTTTTTAGCACATATTTTTGTGAAACCGATGCTTTCTTTAGCACAAAGAAGAAGCGGGAAAGGAATAGCTATATTGACTGAACCGTTCTACAACCAGTACTGAACTGCCTTTTTCATTTTACATGTATACCTCCAGATCTCTAACACGTTTTAGAAAAATATGTGTAAACTCAATTATATTTCGAAAGACGTCTTGAAAATGGTGATGCAAACTCAACATAATTTTTCTGAAACGTTATAGCCAAGACGTCTTGGAATGTTGCGTGTACTGTAATAGGGCTATTGGCGAACTATGCGTCTACATGCAAGAAGATGTTCTTGAAATTTATCTAATTATGTTTGTTTCAGGCATCAGTGCGGGAAATAATGTGGGTACAGCGAATAACAATGCTTGTATTGGGTGTTGTCTCGTCAATAATTTCAATATATGGGGAGAACACTGTCATTGGATTGTATTATGTGTGTACTGAGGTTGCCATGGTGGTTCTATTTCCTCAACTGTTATGCAGTATGTATATTGAAGTTGCCAATGGGTATGGTGCCTTATTAGGCTCTGCTTTGGGATTAGTACTTCTCTTCGGAAAGGGAATTCCTTCATTAAATCTACTCGCTTTCATTCCTTATCCACCATATGACAACAAATATGATATATTTCCCGTAAGAAGTCTGAGTGTAATCGTTACCATCTTGTCCACAGTTGTAATCTCCTACGCTACAAAAATGATGTTCACGAAGAGACTCTTGGCAAGAAAATTTGACATTTTGAATCAATTCTTCAAAGCTGATCTGGAAGGAGAAGCGAATAACGAAAATGAGCGCAGCCTACGTTGTTATGACAACCCTTTAAACATAACAGACAATATCAAACTTTGATTATGTACTTCCAATCATTTTTTGCAGTTTACGTATTTTGCATATACAAGTATATGTACAGTACCATACGATTATTACAAATTTTAAAAGTAAATAGATTTAAAGTAAATATACTTTTTAATTATAATTTGATCTTTGGCGTTACTTCTGGATCACCATGTGCATAATCTAAACGGTGTAAATAAAAAAAAAACATTCCTATTAGTTGAATACCACAATGCAAAACATTCTTATTAGTTGCATACCACAATGCAAAACATTCCTATTAGTTGCATACCACAATGCAATAGTATAATCTTAAACCAAAGTTTTGAAGTCCCTTCTACTTAATATATCGATACACATTACGCCTTTAGTTAAAAGGCAGCAAGGCTGACAACGAGATTGAAGCAATGATGGCCGTCG